GCCTGTTATCATACACAAAATTAAGGGTTATATAATAAAGCATTCAAGGACAGTTCTAATAATGTTAGCATGGATATTTTATTGTTTCTATGGCCCTAAAGAAACTGTCCAGTTATGGAACTGGTGCTGTCTTCATACCATATCAAATAGGGTGCTTCTATACTGCAGAGTTTAACTCAAAATAAGCTACACAAATTGAGCTATACCAATTGCGAAGTTTATTTTTAAATAGCTTATTTCAAAATTGGGAGCGATTACACAGCACTTATTTCAAAATAGAGCATTCTTCCTCCGATGTCTCTTAGTCCTCATTCAATGAGGGTTGCAGACGTTGGAGTAAGAAGTTCTCCAGCATAACAGTATTTCAACATTATTTCAAAATAACTGCCTGCTGTGTAGACGTGGACTAAGTTATTTCAGAATAATGCTAGTTATTTTAAAATAATGTTGCTATGTAGATATACCCTTAAGGAAACCTTTCTGGCAAAATATTTGATATTTGAGGAGTTAGCTCTCAACTACCTTTTCAATCATTTTACCCAAGGAGGAAGGAATGGAAAATAGGATGATCTTTAAGTCATTTTTACCACATTATTATCTCTTGAATATAGGTCAGATAATCATATGTTTAGGTATTTCTTTCTACTTATCCTCTGAGAATAATGTAGACAACTTTGGTAAGCATTGGAGTAACGTAGATCCTATAACTTCCTATACCATCCATTTACATCTGGTATTATTCATATCCATTCTGTTCTCTCACCTATCATGTTCTAAAACAGTTAAACAATATGAATAATACTTTTTGCTTATACACAATTATTATTATAAAAGCCTGTTACTCTGTAAACAAAAATGGAACCAAGGAACCATGGAAGGTTCAGTCTAGCCCAAAAATTGCTCTATTTTTTCTCTTCCCCTTCTCTTCTGCAACACCTTATGATGGGGAAAGGATTCCTTCACTAAACTAACCCAGAAGTCCTTTACCTGACTGACTAACCCTTTAGCACTGGCTAAAGGTCTCACTTAACTCTCTAGAGGGAACCATTCTTCTGTTCAAATAGATTACTTATTCTAACCCATAGGTGACAGATCTGTAATTTGTTAGAAAGGATCAGACTCAGCAAAAGGAGTTGCAGTGTGTAGAAAAGAGGGTCCTCAGTTATGGAACACATGAAAATAACTTTATTTAAATATATAAAGGTATATTTAATAGCACATCATTGCTTGCATTCTTTGAAGATTTAGCTCCTCTGTGCTAAAAATAAAGTTTCAAGCAATTGTTAACTTGGATATTATTGAAAATCACATACAAAAATTTATGTGGATTGCTGTCCCTCAATTGATTCTCTTCATAATTAAATAGCGCTTGCCTACTAATTATGTTTAATCTCTTCACTATCCGTTCTGATGAATGAATCTGCATGTGAAATCATTCTATATCAACATAGGAGTGACAAGCTATAATGTCATCCTATGAGTCAGCAAGATAATGAGAGTTCTCAGGATGGAGAGCCCATTATTTCAATCTGTTACAAGAACTCATTAGAAACTGGGTGTTCCCTTTAGATGGACAGAATTCATACTGGTCACTGGTGCACCCATCATATTAGATAACACCTTTTGCAGTCAGTTTAAAACAGACTATTTAGATATATTTAACATTTTGAAATGTAGTGGTTTTGAGTACTGTCAACATTCAAACCAGAAGGTAACTAGCGTAAGGGAAAAAATGGGTCTAAAAGAAACCTTACCTCCTTACTTCCAGTAGTAATTTCAACTTCTTGTGTTCACTGGAACTATTTTACTCCAGAACTATGCTGCTCTGTCCCCTTAGGCTGTGTCTATCACAGAACATTGAACTGCTGCTAATTAAGCCAGCGGAATCAGTTTAAGCACAAAAAGTGTACCATTCTTGCCATTCTGATCAGGAGAAAGCACTATTGCCCACATTTACGTTAATGTTCTGCTCTCCAGTAGCAGTAGCACTCTCTTCTGGGTACGTATTCCACAATTCCCATCACACCTTCCCGTGGCAGTACATCATTTCTACAATACAGAGTGTACTTTTGAAGCTGCTTACGTTCTATATCTTGAGTTTTTCTTATTGCCCCCTTTAAAAGGACTTGTCCTGAACCATGCATATATTGTCTGGGGAAAGGGATATCTTTACTGGCAGTATGCCCACTTGAGGCACAATGCTTTCTGATGCACTGGGGGTGTGCAGCTATACTCTATTATGCAATTCATAGAAAGGAGCAGGATTTCTCTCTACCCACATTTTCTAGTACTTGCTACAGGGCTGGTGATCATAAGGGTGCAAAAAGCTTCTGTGGCATGGTAAGATCGCTAGTGACAGACACAGACAGGACATCCAGCAAAAACATCTTAAGGACATAACTTGAGATTGGTCTGGGTGGAGCTCAATCTGCAGAAGCTACAACTCTTTGGGATTTGCAATTATAAGGATTTGCATTGTCACAGTCCCATTTACTTTGAATAGCGCCATCTGGGCACTATGCTTGTTACTTCCTTGTGCTCTCTGAATTCATGGGCTGTAATTGTGCAAAAAGGGAATGGGCGCAAAGGAAGAGGTTTCTTACTCAGGGCCAGGCACACTGTGGCCTTTTGTTTGTAGACTCATAATTTTATAATCCAATTCCTAATGTTATTCCCATCCTTCTTTATATGTTTTTTTTCCTGCTTCTTATTCATTACTTCGTTTGCATAAATCTCCCCACTGCCAAATCCTCCCAATTTTTCATTCCTCTTTCATGCAAAATCCAAATATTTCCTGACAACTCCATCATTTCAATAGTAGTTTGTCATAGACACTCATCGATTTGGAAAGGGTAAATCTGCAGGAATGTCCTCTCTAAAATATGTGCCTAGGAACTTCAGAACATGTTCTAACAGTCAGAGAGCAGGCAGCAGTTATGGCACCCAGGCTGTGCCACATATTACTAAATATTGAAAAAGAGAAAGTAGTAGCATAGGAGCCACTTGGAGATTGTCACTGCATGAGGGATCCTTGGGGAGTTCATTAAGCCTTGTTCAAGGAAACTATATTCCTCCAGAATGATTTGTCCATAGTACTGCCACTGTCTCAGCCAGCCAGCATTATGGTCTGCACACTTTGCAGGCTCTAGGGACACTGAGATAACTCTGGTCCTGCAGCTCCTTTTATAGGTCCATCTTGGCCCCTGATTGGCCTGTGCCTCCTACAGATACTCTATCCTCCTTTGAGGAAAGCCTCCAGCAGGTGGCTTCAGAGCCTGGTCCACCCTGTCACATCTCCCTAACTTTTTCCAGGATCTGCCCCAACACGTCTTGTCTGAGAGAACTGTTTTGGCTGTACATTCACCATTATTTGTTTCCCGTTCCTTTCACTGGACCCTGATGACAACAAAGAATGTGTTTCACATTTTTTTTAATCTTCCCTCCTTATTACTTAGGGATTTTGTTTTCTTGTTAGTCACTATGATAAGGTTAAACTGAGTTATTTAAAATGGCCTGTCTTATGAGATTTTTTTCAGAACTGCCACAATTAGAAACCTCATTTGTTACATCAGTCTCATAGAACTGAGTTTCCACAATGTCCATCCCCAATGGCATATCACCTACAGATTCTATTTTGTTTGCTAAGGAGCAAGAATACCTTGAATTCTGATTCACAACAGTGCTCAGCAACTCATAGAATCCAGCCCTAGCTTTTGTGTAATGCAGTAAACATTAATATCCAGTATATCTTGGATTGTCAGATCTGATTCATGAGACATGATAGGTGAGGAGGCTGGTCTAAGGATCAGAAGATTTAGTCTGCCTTTTTAAGTGCAAACACGTCCTGATTGGATAATGGGCCTCTGACACGCCCCTGTTCAGATCATTCCTGCAATAATCTGAATGGGTAGCTATTAAAGGAGCTGGCAGACACAATACAAATGTATATTATTGCCAGTTCAGCAGCATATGCATTTAATGATCCGGAGAGCAATTTTTGACTGTACCGGAAGTAGGCTCAAGGATTATAACATATTCTACTTTTCAGTATCTGAAAATAAACTCTTTGATGTAATCAAACCATAAAAACCCAAACCCATAAAAATGAAATTGTTCAATAATTAAAGAGCTTCTGTGATTAAGATCTTAAAGAAATCTATGGCACATTGAAATATATTTATGTGCGAAATTTGGCTTTAAATTCTAGACAATATGATTTCACAACTTGAATGGTTCATCTCTGTTTATTTGCTTAATTTTGCAAAAGGTCTCATAATACCAGTGTGATTGGTGATGTGGAAAAAGTGAGTCACTAAAACCCAATAATGTCACTCATAAAAATAGTAAAATGCTGGTTAGTTTTTATTTTATTCTGGTTCTTGTCAGTCTGTCATTTTAACTATTGAAATAAAGAGCACTAGAGAGCGCCACTAAAAATATGAGTTAAGGTAAAATATAGATAAATGGAATGAACAGTTACTATTCACATGTTGAAGCTAGATCTGATAGTTCAGACTCTATGATGAAACGTACACAATAGTGTACAGTCATATTTTTTCATTCAGTTAAATAAAATTCTTTAGTTTTCTAAACAGTCATCTTATAGACAAGTGGTATGACCAAGAGGACATTCCAAATGTCAAGGATGTTAACATGTGTCATATGGTGTGTTCCTTTCAGTGCTATTCAAAAATTTTCATCCAGGATGTTGAAATTCTTTGTATGTCTTCTCTAATAAATATTCAAATGGGGAAAATGCAACTTCCCCAGAAAAAATATTAAACAGCCTAGAGAACAAGAGTAAAACTACACCAAGCATATTTATGCATGTCCAAGTTATAGCAGTAAAATTCACATATTTTTACCAGAAGATAGACATAAGAATATTTTTACTACAATTTAATTAGTAAATTTTAATGTAAATTAATCTTTAAAGAGTCCATTTCCTCTAACCTTATGTACACTTGATGATATTTAAGATCAGAATTCAAATACAATACCTTAGCTTTATCCCTCATGGAACCTTTGCCCAGGATAGACATTTTGGCACCTGTCTCCTCCTGTAACCTCTTCAGAGAGTTTCCTCTTGGTCCAAGCAATTTTCCAACAAAATTGAACTAGAAAGTGAATAAAATAGGTGGTTTTAGATAATGATGAACTAAAGATATGGTGTTCAGAAAGAGATATAAATATTGGGAAGCATTTTACTGTGGAAGGGAAGAATAAAATATTAGACTTCAGAACACATATTTTTCTTTTAAAAAACGATATGATTAAGTTCAGGGATTAAACCCTAAGTAAATAGGTTGTGTACTAAGGATATTCATGAGATCTGTTGAAGAATTTAAGCAGTTTCCTCTGTAGGCCAAAAGGCAGCAAAAGTGTTCTTGTTTCCTATGCTCCCCCCCGTGTAGGTTTGTAGGGGAGAAAAAACCTGGGGATCTCTTCTCTCCTGCAAACTTGTGATGTGCCCATTCTATACAGTAGAACTGTACCTGCTGAGCCTTCTCTATTTGTACCATGCTTTGGATGCTTACTAGAGACACAAAATTGACCCCAGAAACACAATAATGTATGTAAGGGCAACTTCCTGAAGTTAGTATAGTGAACCCTGGGTATAACTTTTCCTTCACACGTGTTTTGTAGTAAAATAACCAGGAAAATGGCAGACTGCCTTAACCAGTGGCTTGTTAGTAGCTAGTTCCAAGTTTGTCAGATGAAATTATGTAAATGACAAAGCAACCTGACTTGTATCACTCTGGTATTTTACCATAGGGCAAAAGGAATTTATAGTAATCCCAGTAAAGAATGAAGTGATAGAATGGGCAGTGTTGGAAGGAATATAGAAAAAACAGCATGAAAAAAGGAAAGAGCAACCAAGTGTATTCTGGCTCAAATGCTCAGCAGATCCTAACAAGATGATATAAACATATCCCATAAGAGCTCAGAGCATCACAGATTTTAGCCTCATAGTGTACCTAAGAGACAGTGGGTATTCTTGTCTCTATTCTACATAACAGGAAAAAATGATGCACAAAATATGTGGTTTTCTCTAAATCACAAATTGTCTATAGCCACCCCAAGTATAGAACCTAGGTGGCTTGACTCTCAGTCTAGTACTTTAATATCTAAGTGCTGGACATATAAAAGGTACTTGTGTAAATCACTGGATGAATGTCTTTATCAAAGAATATAAAAAGGTGGTGTGGCCCTTGAATACATAATCACTAGTATCATAGCCAAATTAAACACTTATGGACAAACTCTCTTGTCAGCTAAATCTGTCTAGCTGTTTTCAGTAGGTTTCATGGTTTATACTAGAAGTAGAATTTAGCCCCTAACTTTAGTCACAGGAACGACATACCTTGAATTTTTCCCCAGAGATACATTGAAGTACTAACAGAAAAGCTGCACTCTTCATTTGTAATGAAAGTCCATTTACTAATCTAAGGTCCTCTGATTGTAATGTAGTATTGCACACAGAGTACATTCCCAAAGGCCTATATTACATATTACTCAGGAATCATAATACCTGGACCACACCCCGATCCAGATGAGTACATTTCTTTTTTGGAATACGTCAATACCAGATTTTATAAAGACACATTCCACTACTCTGGCAGCAGACCACAGCACTTAGCAAACCTGACAGCTCTCCCTCTTCTCAACACTGTATTCCACAACTGATAGGTGCTCTGACTGGCACTCCTGGGGGATACAGAAAAGAGGACTGCTACTCTTCATGAGGAATGTCAACTTTAGAATTCACTTTTCTAATTGGTTTGAAATAGCCCTAATTGATTGTGGACCTTTAGAATATACTGCAAAGTCCATCTATTTGAGCAGGCATCTGGGGAGGTGTGAGGCTTCAGGGGGAATGTGTGTCTTTTCTCTAGGTACTAAGCTAAGGAATTTCAGTTTTGTGGACTGGCCTTCTTTGTGAAGTTAGTTTGCTTGTGGGCATTTGTGCCTTTGAATTCCTTTCATATTTCTTTGTTAAGGGATCTACAACCTGTGTTAGGTCTTCTTTTATTATATTTCATGTTCAGATAAAAATAAATAAAGCCAAAACAAATATTGGTGACATAAGGAAGAAGGAAGAGTAAGAAACCAGTTTCAAACCTAACACTGAAGTTTCTAGATATTGTTATTTATCCATCAAATTAAATATATTTATCCATCAAATTAGATTAGCTCCGTTACCATGTTAACATGTATTCACAAAATATAGGTATTTCTGTTGTCTCATTCCAAGACACAGTTATGCTTATTCTGTGTATTAAGTCAAAGCACACTCAAGCTCAAGTCTCTGTAGCTATCCTATCTGCGGAGCACAATGGCAGGCAGGATGACTGATGATGTAACAGTGGGCACTCAGAAGAGGTTCCTATACTGCCTTTGTGAGCACAGAATGAATTTCTCCTAGGCTAGCTGCATCTCAAAAGGCAGTGCAGAAAGATAAGTTGTGACTGTCTCCTTTCAGGGTGTCGACTGGTGCTCAGGGAATTCTGCAAGTGGTATAATGGCTGATCTTAAACTAGTGCACAAGTAGGCGGAGAAAAAAATTAGTTATATTTGCTGTCTGAATAGAAAAGAACTGTTAAGGAAAAAGCTTAAAGATACTGAACTGTCTAATAATTACCAAGAAATGTTACACCCTAACATGCACACAATTAATTTTAAAGACTAGCACTATACTGGAAATTAGTATTTGAATATGTTTCATTCCATTGACCACATAGTAACCATACAGGCAAATTTAACCAATGTCTTGGACACAGTCCAGAAAAATGCATTTTACAGTAAGCAATGTTTACAGATTAAATAATTTCATTGTTTTTAATGTGTTCTTTTGCCCCAAATTTCCAAATAATCAAATTACTGTACCAGAATTCCACTACCATGTCTCCCCCCATCTTTTTTCCCCCACTGCAGTCAGAAAAGATAACAAAATATTATGCACAATTAGGAAAGGAATAGATAATAAGACAGAAAATATCATAATGCCTCTATGCAAAGCCATGGTCTGCCCACACCTTGAATACTATGTGCAGTGCTTGTGCTCTGAGAAGAAAAATGCCACTGCCCTTAGCACTTCTCTGCATGGGCTTTCTTCATTTGGACTTTAAACAATGATTAGGGTTTAGCCCATGAAAAAGAAAATACACTCCAACTGAAATACTCCAGGAAGACCCAGGCCAAATATATACCTGTTATAATTCTATTAAGTCAACTGAATTACATCAGAGATGAATTAGGTCCAAACAACGAAAATAAGAGTAATTAAAGCCATAATATATCTAAAGAGATTTATTTATGGAAAACATTTTATTATACAATGTTTGTCTTCAGAAATGCTAGAAGCTCATATTTACAATGTACTTGAAGAGGATGGTGCAATAATTGCCTAGTTATTTATTAGTTCACCTCAAACACCTAAATCTACAGTGAAAATACGCTTTTTTGGCATAATTCCATGAAGCAGATGGTCAGTGATTCTAGACAAACATCTTCCAGAATACAAGTCCATATGGATATAACATAGTATTCTCTCAGCTTTCATTTTAGCTATTTTCTGTCAGAATTTGGTAACAAGTTTTGCCATTTAAATAAATGAATATAAATGAGTTTTAGCATTAAAATAAATTTTCACTTTAAAAATAATTGTGTTTAGCCTCTGATGTATCTTTATTTAGGTAAATTTATTCACATTTCCCAAGGTATATCCCAATAGCTATTTCTCTATCCAGAAGTTCTCAGACTTCATTGCACTATGATCTCCTTTTTGCAACTGAAATTACTACACAATCCTGGGGGAAGAAGAACCAAAGCCTGAGCCCACATAAGCCCTGCCGTTTGGTCTGGAAGGGCCAAAGCAAAAGCTTAAGCCCCACCACTCAGGACGGAGGGGGCAAAGCCAAAGTCCAAAGGCTTCAATCCCAGAAAGGGGGTCTATAAACTGAAGCCTGAACTCTGCCTCCCAGGGCTTTAGCACCTAGGCTTCAGTTTTGACCATAGGTGGTGGGGCTCTGGCTTCAACTTTGGCCCAGAACTAGACCTAGTCTAATGCCTATCCTGGTGACCCCATTAAAATGGGGTTCCAACCCACTTTGGGGTCTAAAACTGGGGTTAGCCAGGATTGATCTTTATCTCTAGGTGGGTTTTGTTGTTGTTATTATTGGAGTAAAAAATAGCAGAGGTCTGACACCTTATACATCCATGCAAACAATAGCTATATCTGGGATTTATCATCACAATAACATTTTTCACTTTCAGAAACTTTTAGGGGATGAAATTTGCCAGTATTGGTCTCTATCTCTAGGTGGGTTTTTTGTTTTTTGGGGGGAGGGCGGTTGGTTTTGTTGGAGTGAAAAATAGTGGAGGTTTGATATACGCTTGATTTCAAAATCATGTTTTATCTTAGGTCTATACATGAGCAGTACTCTAATTTTTCAGCATACACAGTATTATTGGAGAAATAGCAAAACGATAATTTAATTCAAGCCTATTCCAGTGCTTTTTTTTTGCTTTTCATTGTTAATAATAGTTATACTTGCAGCAAAACTTATGCAGCAATCTGTATGTTCAAAGTACTCTACCCACATTTTTATTTTATTATTCAGGTCACATACATAATCAAAGCAAAGCATTATTTTAATTTGACTGACGCATGCAAACTCATTAACATAGCTCTAAAGAGATACTACAAGCTTAGAGAAAGCTTTCAAAAACATTTCATTTACTTTATGGAATGCATTTTCTGTGTACTTCCAGCCTGTTTTGTATTATTGGAGAGACATGCATGTAACTTAGTTCTTTAGATATCAGTTTCCTGTACTACTGCAACAATTGCAATAACAAAATCTATCGTTTTCATAGTTTTTCATGAGGCACTGACCTCACTTTAATCACAAACTCTTCAGTAAGGTTCTAGTATTATTAATGAGACTTTCCACATCCTGAAGTCACACACTTTCCATAACGTCTTGCAGGATCTAGCCCTGAAAGCCAAAACACAAAGCCAGATAGTGAAATCCTACTGGGTTACAAATTCTAACTGATCTGGAGCACTTCCAATTTCCCATTACTTTTAAATTGGATTTTTGCTTGAATAAGG